GGCTTTAGGGTTTATGGCTCGCCTCAGCCCCCTAGCCCTCCTTCAAGAGAGAAAAAGTAAAACGGCCCCTACTTGGAGCATCATAGGATTTAGTAAGTACGTAGGCTTATAAGTACTGTACCTTAATTGGGGTTATAAGGTAATTATAAGTATAGTTACCTTTTAATACTAAGTCCCATGACCATTTTAGCCAGAAGCCTCATGAACTGCAGACACAGGAAGCGCAGCACGTAGCCCAGGGGCCAGGGTTAAAACCTAAACCCTGAACCCTAAATCCTGAACCCTACATGCTAAGGCTAAACCCTGCACCTAAGCTCTTGCGTTCCTAAGCACTTTTCAAAACCGTAGATTGCAGCACAGGGGTTTGTTAGGCTTCCTGAAAGGGTTCTTATACAGTCGCTAGAATGGGTTCTATAAGAGAGAGGGGTTAAGGGTTTGGGTTTCTGCTTAGGGTGCAGGGTTTTCGGTTCTACAGGATTTACGGATTTAGGATTGGTTTCTATTTAAGGAGAGTAGGGTGTAAGGTTGTAGTAGAGAACCTGCAAGGGGAAAAAGCTACATCCTGTGGTAAAGCGGTCGAATCGGCCAAACCCTAAACCCTTAAACCCTCAAGCTTAGCACTCACATGTAGTTTCTAGGAGCTTTGTGATTTTTTTGCAATAGACAAAGCCTGAGGTGCTTGAGTATTTAGTATGGGGTTCATAAAGGGTTTAGGGTTTAGGTTTACGGCTTAGGGCTCAGGTTTAGTGCTACGACTCCTTTATCGTTCAATACAGCCGAAAAACCCTAGATCAATATTTAGGGCTTTGTGTCACTTTACATGTACTGCATTGTTTGCAGCGCCTTGAACCTTCAAGTGTTGGACATCGGGATCATTGCCTTCGGGTGCTTCTGCTTGGAAATCCTAGTCTAATCGTTGATGATATAAATCCTGCATTATCTTAATGACCTTAAATTATGGGAATTATAGTTGGGAAATGCAGGATTCATATCATCAACCGAATCATGAAGCCCTGTATTATCGGTTTAGGGTTTGGGGCTTGCAGCACTCGCCGCGAAGACTCAAATCTGTCCCTGCAAACACTGTAGGTAAGCCCAAGGACCCCAAAGCCCCTTGACTATCACATGTATAGTCAAAGGTTGACAACTGTGCATGGCCATGCCTATAAACAGCTTGACTGGCTATCACGGTCGTCCAGCTACGCATGCGCATGCGCACATGACCGTGTGAACGAACAGAGACGTCGGTTTCTCTCGCTGCATGTCCCTGTCATACATGAATGTGTACAGACATGCATGCGCGAAGGCACATAACTTATTCCAGGTGTTCATGCCTTGGCGGCATCGCGTGGTCCAGCTCCAGTCCGTGCAGGGTGTTGACGAGGACTCAATGCCAGAGTTCAACATTTTCTGCTATGTTTCTACAATATTTGGCAGAACGCATTGGGGTTGTCGGGTTTTGGGATAAACAGGGCTCTTAAGAGACATGCACTCAGCCTTAAGAATATAACGCCTACACCGCCGCACTGGTGGTTGAACCACTCGAAGCCCCAAACCCTAAACCCTTGAAGCCCTTAGATGCAAGTCCTCTTTATGCGATAAGCACCCCAAAAGCCTACAAGCGGATGCTGTTGCCAATATATGAGTAACTACATCCTAAGGCGAATCTTAACCTTGTTTGGGCTAGGCTTCTCAGCCCTACCTCTCAATCCTAAACCGTAAACCCTATAAGCCCTCTAAGCCCTAAATTCTGAGCTCAGGAGAAGAAACCCTAAACACCAAACCCCAAAACCCCGAAACCCTTAAACCTCCAAGCCCTGAACCCTATAATCCCTATAAGCCCTCAACCCTGACCTCAATACCTATAACGAGGACTTCATAAGGCCTATTTAAGGAAGTCCCCTACTCCCCTTCCCCCCCTAAGGGTCCCTATGATGACCTACCCTCAACCGACCTTAGGAGAAGGAGTGCTTCCATGTGGGAGGCTTCTCACCGGTGGCCCCGGCACCAAAGCCCGCAGAGGACACGGCACAAAGCTGCCGCGGCTTGGCTAATGTAGGAGCCTGATTAAGAAACTTAGGGGTACTTAGAAATAGTTTGTAATTTTTGGTTATTATAATCCCTAAGAAACAGCTAAAACCGTAATTTTTGTTAGGGTTCTAAGTTCAGTATAGTACTGTAGGAGCCTGATTAAGAAACCGTGGGCATTCAATAAGGTTCCTTACAATGAATCCTACTATTTGGGGGTCATTGGGCCAGGGTTTCTTCCTCAGGTTCCTACATTACCCCAAACCCCTAATCCCTAAGCCCTATAACTGCGGTTTTATTGTGTAGGGTTGACGGATGAGGAGTTCAGGGTTTGAGGGTGAGAGTGTAGGAGTTTAGCGTTTAGGGTTGAGGAAGGAGAATTTACTGTTTAGGCATTTTTAGTTTGAAGCGTGCATCGTGTAGATTCGCATCAGGATTCGGCTTGAGAAGAACGTTGTATTTTTAGAAACGCACTCTTCACCTTGCAGAAGACAACATTGCTAATCTCCTTTGCCTTTAGAAGTATCCATGCTCCGAAACCTACAAAGCGAATCCGGCAATGTGCAATGGGAACTATATATAACGTACATGTGTGAAATGCTGCTGTAGAGACCGCGTGAAAGAACTGCGTGTTATCGAATTTGGTTAACACGAGGCCGCACGTTAACACGGCAAACCTGCCTAGGTTTGCTGTGGTCCCCAATCCTAAGCACGAAAACCCCAGTTCCTTAGCCCCTTGCCATGTCATGTCTTGAGTTCTTTGGATTTTGGACAGGGGTCTGAAGGCTTAAGTCTTTTGTTTTGGTTTGGGGTTGTGCGGTTCAGATATTTCTCCGGCCGTTCCCGAACCACCAAATCCGCCCCGCTGTAGCGTTCGAGGTTTGGGCTTAGGCGGTTTAGGTGTGTGCTGAGTTGCAAGCCCTGAACCCCTACGCAAGTACTTTGAAATAGTGTTCCTTAGGTTCGCCATTAGTGTCAATGAAGCATAGAAGACCCCAGCGGTTTGGGGGACTTGGGCTAACTTTTCCTGCGCCCGACAGCTGTTAACGGGGGCCCTCATGAGGCCCACGCCTCAAAACCGATCCCAAGTAAAACCCTGAACTCTGAATCTAGACTCTGCATTCTCAACCCCATGCAAGATATCAGGTTTTTCCTACTTGGAGGATCACGGGACTTAGTAAGTAAGGTTACAAATACCTTGATTGGGGTTATAAGTCATTATAAGCATAGTTCTCTTAATTATCACCCTAGTTACTAAGTCCCATATGGCCCTTTAAGTAACCCCAACCCCCTTCTAGAACCCGTATAGATCCCTTTATATAAAGGAACCCTTCTAGAACCCTTATAGATCCCTTTAAAGGAACCCTTGTAGAACCCTTATAGATCCCTTTAAGGGGAACCTAAACCCTTCAATGAGGATCCCTGTGGGCTGTAAGTTCGTGAGCCCCCAAACCCTATGACCGAAAGCCTAGACCCTACATAAGGTAACTATACTTTAACCTTAGAAGGGGCCCCCACCCTGTAATAGTGGTATAATAGGAATGTAATAGGGCCCTAGTATAATCCTTATAGTCACTATTACAGGGTGGGGGCCCCTTCTAACTTACAACTACTTATAACGCCAATTAAGGTACTTATGACCTTACTTACTAAGTCCCATGATCCTTTAAGTATGACCGAAAGCCTTGGGCCCAGAATTCCCAGGCCGCGTGGCATTGGTCCTCCGGGGGCATAGCTTTTTGTGGAGAAAGGGAACCACCGTCAGCCGCGGAGGCATCGGCCAATATGTGGTTGTTGGTATTTTGAGTAGGAGATAGTATAGTATAACTACATGGGGACCATAAGGGGGTAGTATGTCTAAAAATTCAGACCTCTGTACGATAGGGTTTAGGCTTGAGGGTTTGGGTACAAAAGCGCAGGGGGTGAGGGAAGGGTTATAGGATTGCATTGGATTTTGTGGTCTTTTCCGGATGTTTATGCAGAAATCATACGGGGAATAGATCGCCGAAGCACAAGACCTTTGTCGAGATTGGAGGTACAGGTTCCAAACAACGGTTCGAAGGCCAACCCAAAGATTTTTAGCATAAGCCGCTTCTAGACTCTTGCAGGCGCACAGGGTGATGGTGGTGATGGTTGTGGTGACGGTGGTGAGACTGAACTCTGACTCCTAAACCCTCAAGCCTAACCCCTAAACCCTAACTCTGGAAATCGCGCAGCTACAAGGATGCATCGTAGGAGCCTGTATGCGAACCATGGGTTCTTTCATAGAGAAGCCAGAAAACGTAGGAATACTTGTCCTTATTGGGCTTAAGGTTCAGGAATTGGGGTGTCTTGGGTTCCATAATCTATGGCATACTATTAGGGTTGAGGGTTTAGGGTTTAGGGGTTTAGGGTTTAGGGTAGTTACTATACCCCGTGCACACACACATACACTTTGAGGTCGAAAGTGTCTGTAGAATGAATAGGTAAAGTTAGGGTAACAAATGGTCACAACGACAAGAGCAGTACGGGCGAGAAGAAGAATATTAATGATACGATTAAGGCGAAGACCCAAAGCAAGAGCACTAAGAATAATAACAATAACAGAGTAATAAGCAGTCGAAGCATGCGCACACGGACGGCTCGAATGCTAGAAGAAAACTATATTCCGCGGGCCCTAGCGAACCCTAAACAACAGATCTTGAGCTTTCGGGTCCTTTAATTCCCTTTGATCGGGTTGATATGCTTTCATTAATGCCCCCCTCCCTTACACCAAGGGTGTCTCTAAGCCCCGAATTGTCACGTTAGCGATCGGGTCCTTATGCTTAGGTGCTATATACGCCCTCCACCCAATGCGGTATTGCCCAAGCTTTGCCTAAGCTTCACACCGTTGCAGGCCCCTCAACTTAGCTTTAAACTTTTGACTCTGTCCTCAAAATCCGCAGCATTGGCACACTAACGCCTGCCTTGCCTCGTAAATCCGGAGCCTTAGAATGATCGACGCGATTTTCCTGACTTTGTCAGCTTGTTCCTGCGTTGCCTGTGGTTCCCAAACAAGAAGAGATCTCAGGGATGGTGTGTTTCGAAGAGGTGTTCGGTTTGGTGACCAAGCCTCTCACCAGGAAGAAGATGCTCGCTTAGGACTGGACCTGTGGTTCAGGTGGCCGGATCGATTTGCTTGGCATGGATTCACATTCCTATACTCTGCCGTTTGCAGAACTGGTCGAAGGCTGTGGGCTGTGCATCATGCTTGACACCGATATGGAGTACGAAAGTACGCTGGCGAGGGCTTAGGGTTTAAGGTTTAGGAAGTCCGACCTGGAGGTGAGAAACTCAGACAGAAGGAAGCGTGGGGTGATCTTACTGCGCTAGAGCCTGACGAGCTGTGTGAGCATGCTAAGAAACCCGGCGCCAAGATTCACATCGCAGACGCGACGACAATTGCAGGGATTAGAAAAACTGTGGGATGCCTGCAGACAAGCAGGTGCAGAAAGGAAGAGTCGTGCACAGGGGTGGCGCTGTGAGGGACGAGCGCGGTTCGCCTGCTCTCTTTCAGGCTTGGCACTGCCAAGCAACATACAGGCAGTTAGCTTGACATTGTTCCTTGGTATGTGGTTGGTTTCGCGGGTTGTCATTTCTTATGACTGAAGCTCCCGAGGTTTAAGCCTTTAGGGCCTGAAGGCCTAAAGTTTAGGCTTTAGGCCCTTTAGGGTTTAGGCTTTAGGGTTTAGGTTTGGGCCGCTTTCGTGTTCAGCGAGCCCTGAACCCCGGGCTGGGAGTGATGAAACCGGCTGCATGTTGAACCTGCAAGTCAGGGTTGAGGTACTACTACTACTACTACTACTACTACTACTACTACTACTACTACTGCTACTACTACTACTACTACTACGGTGAGAATTTTAAAACATGTGGGGGGCGGGCAACCCAAGATCCAAACAGAGGTAGTATGAGACACCTGTTTTAATCCGTATGTTTTAGCTCCGGGTGTTAACTTCCAGCCCTCCAGCCTTCCAGCCTGCCAACCCTCCAGCCTTCCAGCCTTCCAGCCCTCCAGCCTTCCAGCCTTCCAGCCCTCCAGCCTTCCAGCCTTCCAGCCCTCCAGCCTTCCCAGCCTCCAGCCTTCCAGCCTTCCAGCCTTCCAGCCTTCCAGCCTTCCAGCCTTCCAGCCTTCCAGCCTTCCAGCCTTCCAGCCTTCCAGCCTTCCAGCCTTCCAGCCGTCCAGCCGTCCAGCCTTCCAGCCCTCCAGCCCTCCAGCCCTCCAGCCTTCCAGCCTTCCAGCCCTCCAGCCTTCCAGCCCTCCAGCCTTCCAGCCTTCCAGCCTTCCAGCCTTCCAGCCTTCCAGCCTTCCAGCCTTCCAGCCTTCCAGCCTTCCAGCCTTCCAGCCCTCCAGTCCAGCCGTCCAGCCCTCCAGCCCTCCAGCCTTCCAGCCTTCCAACCTTCCAGCCTTCCAGTTTCAGCCCCTCCAGCCTTCCAGCCCCTCCGGCCTTCCAGCCTTCCAGCCTTCCAGCCTTCCAGCCTTCCAGCCTTCCAGCCGTCCAGCCGTCCAGCCTTCCAGCCCTCCAGCCCTCCAGCCCTCCAGCCTTCCAGCCTTCCAGCCTTCCAGCCTTCCAGCCTTCCAGCCTTCCAGCCTTCCAGCCTTCCAGCCTTCCAGCCTTCCAGCCCTCCAGTCCAGCCGTCCAGCCCTCCAGCCCTCCAGCCTTCCAGCCTTCCAACCTTCCAGCCTTCCAGTTTCAGCCCCTCCAGCCTTCCAGCCCCTCCGGCTGGAAGGCTGGAAGGCCGGAGGGGCTGAAACTGGAAGGCTGGAAGGCTGGAAGGCTGGAAGGTTGGAAGGTCGGCTGGATGGCAGGAGGGGTTGGAAGGCTGGAAGGCTGGAGGGCTGAAGGGCTGGGAAGAGGGCTGGAGAGGCGAAGGTTGGAGGACGGAGTCTGCGGGCTGGAGTCTCGTGTTGTTGTCTTTCCGTGTGTTTTAAAATTGGGCGGCCCAGAGACAATGCCCACGGAAGTAGTATGACACACCTGTTTAACTTGTTTAGATGTCCGGGTATTTAAAAATCATCGCCGTACTACTACTACTACTACTACTACTACTACTACTACTACTACTACTACTACTACTACTACTACTACTTCTACTTCTACTACTTCTACTTCTACTACTTCTACTACTACTACTGCTACTACTGCTACTACTGCTACTACTACTTCTACTACTACTACTACTACTTCTACTACTTCTACTTCTACTACTTCTACTACTACTACTGCTACTACTGCTACTTCAACTTCTACTACTTCTACTCCTACGGGTTTCGAGTTTAGCGGGCGCAGCTAGGAAGAAACTACAATACCTGCAGTTTCATGCAGGTTCTTCACTACCAGACATACGGAAGCCTTGGAAAGCCCAGAGGTCAAATCATGCGTCACTCTATATCCTACACTTCAAACCCTCAACCCCCAAGAGGCCATCGGAACCTGCCGCAGTCTGTCTTGCAGCAGCTTGCGGTGCCCTGGTCCCTGTTTTTGGGTTTCGTGACTTTAGTGTTGATTCGTACGCACTTTTTGCGATCGAGAAGTGCAGCAGCCACTGTGCATTGTTCAGACCGCATACTGACTCTATTCTATCATTCAGGTTTCGTGACGGCGTCATTATGCGCGTCAGCCGGGTTGATGTTATCAGCACAGGACTTGCACTGCATGCTTCTAGCCTCCATCTTAAATGGCGCAGGCTCTCAAAGAGATAATTTAGAAGGCTACATATTTAATTTACCACTATTATTTCTTCGGGCTGCGCAGTTTTACTATTATGGTACAATATACACCAAAACCCTATTCTGATCATTCGGCCCATACGTAAGGCCAGTGGATCCTGAACCTAAGACCTCAAACCTGAATCTTGAAGGCAACAGCACCCCAAATCCTGAACTCCAACGCAAGTGGAGAATTTTGAAAGGTATACAGACTCAGTATTCTAGCAACAAAGCATTGTGCAACCTTAGTACGGAGAATTTTGAAAGGTACACAGACTCAGTAGTCTAGCAACGAAGCATTCTGCAACCTTAGTACGACTGGTCCGCGACTGGCCGTCTCCCAGGAGGCCACTGAACTTGCAAACTTTCTACAAGACCTCACCAGTTGCTTGTGAACTTCAAAGCCAGACCCCCAGGGGGATCCAAAAAGTAGATTCCTTAATGGGGTTCCTATACAGTACCCTTAGTAGTATAGGGCCCCGAATTAGGGGATCTACTTTCTAGATCCTCCCGGCGGTCTGGGGAGCCATGAGAAATCCGTTCACCAACTGATGAAAGCCTCGAGTCTGAGAGTTTGTCAAGAACTTTCCTGATACAGCACTTAAAGGGTCATGGGACTTAGTAACTGGAATTATAATCAAGGTAACTATACTTATAATTACTTATAACCCCAGTTAAGGTACTTATAACCCTAATTGGGGACGTAGGCTTATAAGTACCCTAATTGGGGTTAGAAGTAACTATAAGTATAGTAACCCTAGTTAGAACCCGAGTTACTAGGTCCCATGACCCTTTAAGTACCGAACCGTCATTCTCATTAAACCAACCCGAGAGGGTGAAACCTGCACCTTCAACCCCAGACTCTGAAGCTAAACTCTTCACCTAAACCCCCACCCCTAAAGTACGAACTCACAATGACCCTGCAAATGAATAAACCCTAGGATGCGCTTTTGAACCTTTGAAGAGCATCATGAAGCAAACCGCAAGTGTCCAAACCCGAAGCCTAAGCCCTAAGCCCCTCAACCCTAAACCCCCAAGCCCCTACACCCCTACACCCCTACTCCCCTAAACCCCTAAACCCCTAAACCCCTAAGCCCCTAAACCCCTTATAGATCCCTTTAAAAGCAACTCTTATAGATCCGTTATAGAGCCCTTAAGCCCCCAAACCCTAAACCCTAAACCCCTAAAGCCCAAACCCTGAGCCCCAAAGCGCAGAGACCCGAGGCCGCGAGGTCGCACTTGGACCATGTCGTCAAGCCGTTGGAGGCAGCGACCCACTGACTCCCTTAAGTAAGGAATACCAAGGGTTCCTTAAAGGGATCCTTAAAGGGATCTATAGGGTTTAGGGTTTAGGGGATTCTAGTATCCCTTAATTAAGGAATATACCTTAAATTATAGTGGGATCCCAAATGTGACTTAAGTATATTCCTTAATTAAAGGGTATTGGAGTCTCTGGCTACCATAGGGGCCTTAGATCCCTGTACGGGTTTCGGGGTTTAGGGTTTTGCGTTTAGGGTTTAGGGGTTTAGGTTTCGGGGCTTCGGGTTTAGGGTTGGGTCACTTGTAAGGCTAGTAGGAGACGACAATGGGGTCCCCTTTAAGGAACCCTCCCACCCCCGGACAGGGATCTGCTTTCTGGATCCTTCCGGGAGTCTGGGAAAGAACCCCTGCTAGGAGGGTCCGGGGACTTAGTAAGTAAGTATATAGAGTACCTCAAAAGGGTCCCTAGTTGGGTTATGATACTTGGTTTATATATATATATATAGATATATACACATATATATATATATATAGATATAACTACTTACTACGTCCCCCGACCTTTGTGGTAAGGGCTTCAAGGGTTGGGGCATAGGGTTCGGGTTTAGGGTTTCGAGTTGAGGGTTTCGGGTTAGGTTAGGGGTGGGTTGGGGGTATGGGAGCCTTCACAGGGGTCCTTTTAATTAGGAGATGCTAGAAGGGTTATTACAACGGTGCTATAAGTGTAAGGTTAGTAAACAAATGGTTCTTGTAAGGCCTATAGACGAGAAGGATTCTATAATCCAGGGGCATTACCAATTAGAGTAGGGTTTGGGGGTATATGATTCAAGCGCCTATTTCAGTTCGGCCGTTTAGGGTTGAGGATTGATGGGTTCCTACAAGAAGGATGGGCTCATGGGTAGCTCTATTCTGATTATCAAGGCCTTCCATATTCAATGCACTCGGAAGTCCGTTTAGAACCCGCACAGAACCCACATAGAACGAAGGTTCATAAATTCCCAAAGAAATCGCGTTCTAGTTATCAGGGTTTTTTTGGTACGCGAGTCTCGGCTTAAGGATGCGGCCCAACACGAAGCACGGAGTCCACCGCAAAGCCCGCCCCGAATAGCCCCTTATACCCTGTGCTCTAAACCCTCTGAATTCGTAAACGCCTGAAGCCCAACTGCTAACCTTTGAAAGCCTCAACCCCCACACCGAAACCCCCAAAGCCCGAAACCCTAAACCCCTAAACCCCTGAACCCCGAAACCCCTAAACACCGAGACCCAAAACCCCAAACCCTGAACCCCCAAATCCATTAACCCCAATGCCCATTAAACTAAACCGCTTAATCCCTAAACCTCAACCCCCCAAAACCAAAACTCATTAACCTAAACCGCTTAATCCCGAAACCTCAAACGCACAAACCCATTATCCCTGCATTGCTTGGATGGGGCAGGGGACTTAGTAAGCCGTTTGTAAGTATAGGGTTATAATTGGGGTAACTCCATTTGGGGTACTTATAACCCTACTTATAACCGACTTACTAAGTCCCCTGCCCCTCCAAGTGTAGCAGGACTTGGGCTTCGAGGTGGACGTCTATGGCGCGACCTATCCGAGCCCGTGCTTCGATGTACATCTGAGCTGTTCCCGTAAGGGCTCCTTTAACGGGTTCTATAAGGATAGCCAAAAGGGTTACTACAAGTGTTCTAAAAGGCCTTCTATAAGGGTTCCATTATAAGTTAGGGGTTTAAGGCCTAGTTGGTCTAGGTGTGTTCATGCACTGAAGGGAGCAGCAAGAAGCAGCAAAGCTCCCCAGCACCTTCGCAAGGTACATCCCAGAGCTCGAGGCCAGCGGCGTTTCGAAATCAGCATTCTTGGTTCAGGAATATCTTGGTTTCGTATTTCGTTTGCAGTGATTAAGTTTAAACTTTAGGGCTTGTGGGTCCAGGGAGAGTTTGGTAGTTGGGCAGGGCACCTCCCACCTTTTGGGCTCTAAATGTTACGTTGGCCGGATAGTGTAGAAGTAGAAAGGTGTCTTTGAGGTTGGGTTTGCATTGAAGCTGACATCATGCGATCAGGAAAAACCTGAACGGAGCCACGAGTTCTGAAATTCGCAGATCCGATTTTGACGCCTTAGCCCTTAAACCGATAACATATCAATTTCTCTGTGGTTTGTCTCGTCTCATGTCCAACCCCCCAATGATTCAGGCTTGCAGATACACGCAAAATCAGCAGAGCAACTCAGCACCAGGGCATACTTTGGCTGAGCAGAGCAGACTTATGGTCCATTTCAGCCAAATTCGTGAACGCTGAACCCTAAACCATCCTAAACCCTAAACCGGCCTATATAATTACCTCCAACACTCTTGCGGGTTACTGTAAGGCTTTGGGGCTCGTGTCTGGAGATTGCATTCCGATGTCAATGCGATGTGTGAGCTTTTGTGGTGTAGATGCAAGGGCTTCGAGTTTAGGGCTTTGCGGTTCAGGGTTTAGGGCGTAGGATTCAAGGTTCAGGACTCTTCAATCCAAAACCAAAACCCAATCGCAATTTTTCAGGCTCCTACGCCATGCGGTTACGGATAGGCCCTTCGACTTGTTCCATTTAGGGTGATTCTATTGAAGCCTGCTTTGATTGTAATCCTAAGCCCCTGGCCCCTAAACCCTGAACTTCAAGTGGCTGCAAACCCTCAGCCCAGACCCCTCAATGGGGGTTCCTATAAAGTACTCTCTGGCAGGAGAGGGTCCCACAGTAAAGGATCTACTTTTTGGATCCTTCCGGGGGTCTGGGAAGCCTACACCCTCAACCCTAAACCCTGAAACCTCAACCCTAAACCCTCAAACCCTCGACCCTAAACCCCTGAACCCTAAAGCCAGAAAACTTGAAACCCTCAAACCCTAAAGTCATGGCCGCGAGCGTGACCTAGTCGTGAAGCGGCTCGCGATCGATTAGAGAGCCGCTTAGGCACATCACTGCAGAGGGTGAAGCCTCTGCAACCTCTCATCCTCGGCAATCACGCGATGACGACTGCCTACATTGAGGCACCAAAATCCTACTTCAATGCTACTGCCCCAAAGACTCTAAAATGTTAATGCCCCAAAGACTCTAGAATGTTAATGTCCCAAAATACGTAACATCCAAAAACGCCAAGCCGCTAAGATTCTAAAATCCCATGCCCCAAAAAAACCTAGAATCCTAATTTCCCCAAAACCTAAAACCCAAAACTGGCAGGAATCTGAAAAACCTAAAGCAAATATCCTAAACCCCCAAAAGTCAAAATCCAAAACCCACGCATCCTTCAGCTACAACTTAACTTCCGTGCGATGTAAAGCCGATCCGAATCTCGGCATCCGGATCGTGTTGCTTGTGTTTGTTGCATTTCTGTATGACAAAGAAAGTTGAAGAAAACTAGAACCGCATACACAACGAACCTCGGGCGGGTCGGGCGGGCAACAAGCAGCCGCGTGTCAGGCTTGGCACACCCCTATAAACCTTAAACCCTACCTTAACCCTGAAGGACCTACCTTTTTAAGGACTTATATAAGGAAATCATAATAGGGAACCCTAAAAAGGTAGGTTCTTCAGGGTTAAGGCACGTCTCAACCCTACACTTCGGGTCCGGGTCGGTTTTAGGGGCTCGGGGCCACAGTTTGCACTCTGCAGGCGCAGTATGGAGCGAACCTTGGCATTGGCATCAGCTCGAAGCCGGTTTTCAAAGTTTACGTTTAGGGTTTAGGGTTTGGGGTTGAGGGTTGAGGGTTTATCGGGTTAATTCTCCACCCCACGCCGTCTAAGGCGGTCATCATTCCATCATTTTCTTTACTATGCTTGTTAATGAGAGCAGGCAGGGTAGGGCAGGGCGGGCGCAGCGCAGGGCGGGGCAGGTGAGGAAAACCTGCCGGTCACACAGGTAAGCCTTGAGTTTAGGGTTTAGGGTTCTGGGTTTAGTTTGGAGGAGCTTAAGGTCTTGGTTGGATCTTCGATTTCTGGCAAGGAAAAAGTTTGTTTAGTTTAGAAGGTGCTTCGTGTCCCTATATGTATGGTTTCTGGGGTGTCCGACTTTTGTGTAATGATTCAAGGTATATTCCGGAATTACGGGGCTTTTTGGGTTGGGTTTTCAGGGTTTAGGGCTTCGGAGTTTGGGTTTCCGTTTAGGGTTTAGGGTATTGTGCCCTGTCTTCGCGATAGAAACTGCAGCCCTGCTGCCGGTATTTTCTATGTAGCTGTGATTTAGATACAACTTGCAGTTTTCATAGCACTACTTTTCAAACAGCATACACGAGCAAGGATCTTGCCCTGACGTCTGCACGGATAAACACTGTAAGTTGGGGGCCTGAGCAGTTGTGAACGGTCATCCCTCGTCGTCCTTGTTGTTTGTTGTCCTTACTCCGAAAGCCCCCGCGCAAGCCCCTTCAAACTTATGGCATCCCATCATCAGAAGGTTTCAAAACCCTATTAAAGCTCAAAGCCTAAGCCTCAACCCACCTCCATTTGTGCTCAAAATACCCGAGAGAGCCTATAGCCGAACCCAAACCTCAGACACCCCTAAACGCCGTAACCCCTACCCGGAACCCAAAATTCAATACCCTGCAAGCCTACACCTAGAACCCTGCACAAGCCCATGGCACCTCAACTATGAAGAACCGTAAGAATCCTGAAGCACATCCGTGCATACAATACCCCAAAGCCTAAACCTTAAGACCCTGAAGCCCACATCCTAAACCCTACCGTGAAGCCCACAATAACCTACCTTGGACCTTGTAAGGACGTATACCCCTAACAAGGTAGGTCATTTGGAGTATATACAGGTAAAGGCTAGTGCCTAAGCATCCATTCCTTCATGCAGGCCCGAAGCCCTGAAGCCTAAACCCGAAACCCTGAACCCTAAATCGTAAAACCAGATGTTGTTCGCAGGAACTTCCGAAATCATTGAATCAAGGAAAATTCCTTGAATCATATAATTAACGTTCCTACGTTAATTTGCGCTGTCTTGCGTAATTAAGGGATATTGGAAGATCCCTAAACCCTAAACCCCACAGGTCCCTTACAGATCCCTTAACGGAGCCCTAGGTATTCCTTAGTTAAAGGAACCCTAGTGAGAGATTCTGACTGCTTTGGGACTGGAGTTTTTGGTGCACATCCGAATCTGGTTGAGCTCAAGAACCTCAAGGTTGCCCCTTTTGCACTTTTTCTTTTCGGGGTCTCCTTATTGAAACAGTATATCAGGAGAAGGGTACCCTTATTATTAAGGAGATACTGGGGAACTCAGACCTACATTGTGGAGAAAGGTGCCGCTGCACTTTAAGAAAGGGCCCTAAATAAGTACCAATACAATGTTGGGGGTTCCTTATTCTTATTTTTTGGTTGAGTGGGCCCCAAAACCCTATTCTATAACCATTAGAGGCCCCTGTATTAAGCAAAAACCCAAGGAGCTTGAGACAGCGCTTCTCGATCCTCGAGCTGCCAGGATCACAGCTTGGAGGCTGACGCGGCTTTCAAAGCTGTGTCTAGGGTTTAGGGTGTAGGGTTGAAAGATTCGGGTTTAGGGCTTACATAGGGTTCTTTTAGGGGTTCCTCTAAGGTTAGGGGGCTGGGCGGTTTAGGATTTAGGGTCCTTAGGTTTGAGATGGTTTGGGGTTTACGGTTTCGGGCTTAGGGCTTCGGGTTTTCAGTGTGGCGCTGCGGTTTTTGTTTGGTTGGCTCTCTCTCATGCGCTTGGGCCGGGCTAACTCACGATTCCCTTTTTCCCTCCTCTTTCAATATATAGGGGTTTCCGAAAATAGGGGACCCCAATATAGTACCCTAAATAATAGGATCCTTATTATATATAAGGACCCCAGAAAAAGGTGCCCCTATTTTCGGAAGCTCCCAATAGTTTCGGGGCTCGGCCGGAATCTCGTTTAAACATGTCGCCTTCTGGTATCCTAACGGTCGGGCATAATTTGAGTCAGTGAAGACCGTCCCGATGCGTAAGAAAGCCTGCTAAGGGTCTGAACCCCATTAACACACAAACCCTACACCCTTCTACACCCTAAACCCTAAACCGAGGATCCCCTTGAGTTCTTGATTGCGGTTCATTGCTTTTGGGTCTCGGATTCCGTTTTGTTTGGGTTTAATTACCCTGCCGGGGGTCAGGGTCAGGGCTTATGTTAAGGGCAGACCCTAAACCCTAAACCAACTAGAATACCGGAGCTTGAATAGTGGCTAAACCCTCCACCCGCCCGGGGTTCCATGGCAAGGCCCACTTGGAGGATCATGGGACTTAGTAAGTAAGGTTACATTACCTTAATTATAACCCTAGTTACTAAGTCCCATGATCCTTTAAGCACGGCACCAATAGATCGTCAGACAAGTTGAAGGATGCTTCCAGACAGTCCCTGACCCCAGACCACCACCGACAGGATCTAGAAGTTCTTAATCGGCAAAAAAAGAAGCCCTATAACCGCCGAATCTTAGTGGAGGATCTAGAAAGGAGAACCCCTGTTCTGGGACCCAATGCCACGAGAGGGTACTTAAACGGTCATGGGACTTAGTAACTAGGGTTATAATTACGGCAACTATACTTAGAACTACATATAACCCCAATTAAGGTACTTATAAGTTGGGAGGTGTTGCCTCGGCCTTGGCAGCTGTACCCAGTTCTCTGTGCGACCCGGTGCTGGATTCTGATGTTTCAGGGTTTCGGGCTTAAGGGCTTGTATTAGGGTTTCAGGGTTTAGATGATTAAACTTAGGGTTTTAGATTTTTAAAGTTTAGGTCTCAAGGTTTAGATGATTAAAGTTTAGGTTTTATGATAAGGGTTTACAGGCTTCAGGGTTTAGGGTTTGGAGGGCTCCGAGATCGGGCTCGAGGAATCTTAGCTTGCGAGTCGTGTAGGTAGTCAGGACTTTAGTAGGGTTATGGCTTGGGGTTTGAGGTTTAGAGTTTAGGGTTTACGGTTCAGGGGAATGTGGGTTAAGGTTGTGGGGTTCAGGGTTCAGAGCTTCTGGGTGTGCAGTTGTTCTGGCTCGGCGTTCTGTGTTGCAGGAAGCTTAGCACTCTGTGTAGGCTGCCAATTAAGCTTCACGCATCTTCTGCAAGTGCCGTGGGCTGTATGAGTTGATGGACCTGAACTGCCAGAAATTCCTTCATCCCAAAACCCTACAGGGAACTCCAGAAAGTTGGAATATGGTTTCATGGTAGGATACCTTATAATTCACCATAAAGGGTTTAGGATAATCATATTCCAACTTTCTGGCTTTTACTATATTTCAAACCGGGAAGGGCTTTCTGGGCTGAGAAAACTAAAGAACCCTTCAGACGGGGAGCTTTGTCTGAGGCATTACCTTCGCCAGAAATCGTTTTTCTTCAGGATTTTTGGGTTTAGGGTCAAGGGTGGAGTTCATATCGTCCCCCGGAGGAATTCCAACAAGCAGATCCCTTAATGGGGGTTTCTATAAAGTACCCTTAGTAGTATAGGACCCCAAATTAGGGGATCTACTTTCTAGATCCTCCCGGGGGTCTGGGAAGCTCTAGGCAGCTAGATTTCCCAGGGTCCGGATGAGCCCTGTAGACCCTAAGTAAGGGATCAGATTTTCATATCGCCAAGGCGTCCATTGGATACTGATTCTACGCTTCGACCTGGAGCTGCCTCCGGCAAGCACAAAGAAACACTCTGGTTTTATGGCGGTTTTCTTTCGGCTCTTATACCGTTCTCGTAGGGTTTTCATGGGCTGTTGTAGGGTTCAGAGTTTAAGCTTTGGATTAAGGGCATGTATAAGTGATAGTAGGTGGTTTTCTAGGAAGCGCCTTAGACCTGCAAAGGGAGCTCACGCGATAAAACGAGCCATGTCTTGCACCTAAGCCCTCAACTCTGCACCCTAATGTCACCCTAAACCCTAAACCCTCAAACCTGAAGCCTAAACCCTAAACTCTAAACGAGCCATGTCTTGTGTTGGCCAAGGAAGCGTTCCTTGGTTCCATCGCTGCAGCAGGTCGCTGGGATTGGGGCTTTCCTTTACAGGCTGCCTTTCTGTACTATAGGGGCCCAAATAACTAGGGTTTCTTTAAAGGGGTCTATAAAGGCTTCTACAAGGGCTATTGTAAGGATGTAGTCTAGGGGCCCAAGCAATTACCTATACATTTGTTTTTTTGGGGGGAGGTCCTTATTATAACTATAGTATCATGGGCCCCCAAAACCCTATTCTAATTGTTAAGGCCCCTATATTATCCAGGGTTCCTTTACAGGTTCTACTTTATTTGGGCCTTAATACGTAGAACAGAGTTTAGCGGTATGTTATACTTTATTCATCTAGAGATTGAAGCAAGATTTGCGGGTTCTACAAATGACAGGTTCAGGGTTTAGTTGGCGGCACAGGGGAGCTGATAGGCAAGGCCTAGAGGCTTTACGTTAAAGCATGTTTCATGGGCTTCATCGTATTTCGCCATGACCTTTGGGGTTTCGGGGCTTCGCAGGGTGTCGCTGCTTCTCTTTACGGTCAAACAGTGTGGAAATCAGAAGGGTTCGTGTTTCATGCTCATGGAAGCATTATAGGGTTTGGGGTTTCATGACTGGGTTTATCCTTTAGTATCTCCCCGGATCCTCTGAGCAGTGTGGTTGAAGGATCTAGAAGCTGGACTACTTGCCGACTGACTGCCTTTGCATTCCATTCTACGCTTGTGCGATAATATGCCCCCGAACCTTCGTCTGATTATTAAGCCCAGAGAGCCCAACACCCCTTAATTCAGGAATATGGATTAAATTTTCTAGGGCTTCATATTATGATTTACATCGGCGCAGTAAGCTATATTCCGTAATTAAGGGGTATTGGGCTTGCTGAGAGGCGCTCCCATTTTTTAAGACGAGAGTTTCAGAGTTGTGTGGAGCTTGAAGCTACGCCCGTGCGACCCTAAGCCTGGATCCGTACGCCGCAACCCTTAACGGTTAAAGCCCTTAGACCCCTAAACCCGAAACCCATACTATAGGGGCTTAAATAATTACCTATACCATGTTGGGGGTTCCTTATCTAGGATGCCCAGTAGTACCCTTATTCCCTTTTTGTAGTCCTAGGTTCCTTACAAAGTTACCCAATACCAAAAAGAGAGGCCTTTTTATTCTTAGGTTACTGGGTATCCTAGTTATTTTAGTTGTAGTATAATGGGCACCCAGAACCCTATTCTCATCATTAAGGCGCCTATGGCACACCCCTGCAGCCTTAAGACTTCTTAAAGGCCCCCAAACTAGCAACCCAGAGGGTCCAAAGAGACTACCATTATGGAATTAGACCTCGAAAGACCATCCTAATCATCGTTTTGGGGGACCCAATTCCATAATACCCTAAACGTTCGGCCCTAAACCCTACCTTAACCCTGAAGAACCTACCTTGTTAAGGACTTACTTAAAGAAATCATAATAGGGAACCCTAGAAGGGTAGGTTTTTCAGGGTTAAGGTAAACCTTTAACCCTAAACCCTAAACCCTAAAGCCCTAAAAAAAACCCTAAACTCTACAACCCTAAAACCCTAAAACCCTAAACCCTAATTAACCCTAAACCCTAAAACCCTAAAACCTAAACCCCCAAACCCTATAAATTTTCAGTTTTTAAACCCCTAAACCCCTAATGGAGATGGCAACTTCCATAAGTTTTTAAACCCCTAAACCCCTAATGGAGATGGCAATAATACCCTACACTTTATGCCCTAAACCCTAAAAACCCGAGACCCCTTATAGATCCCTTTAAAGGAACTCTTGTAGAACCCTTATAGATCCCTATAAAGGAACCCCTAAGGCAACCTAAACCCTAAAACCCTCTTGGCAACTGCCATCTCTAAACCCATATAAATTTTAATGTTTTTAAACCCCTAAACCCTAAAACCCTCTAATGGAGATGGCATCCTAAACCCTAAAAACCCTGAACCCTAAAGCCCTAAAACCTTAAAACCTCTTGGCAACTGCCATCCGAAAGGCCTGGCAACGTGGCCAGGACTCCCGGCGTCCGGTTTTCGGGCTCCCGGAAGTTAGGGGCCAAAAAAGCACATAAGCATAAGTATTTTATAGGGAAATCCCGACCTTAATGGGCTTCATGATAAGGGGGTTTATATGAGATATCCCTATCCTAATTTTTGCTTATGCGCCTTTTGGGGGCCCTAGGAAGGGTCCGTTTAAGGGTTTGGGGTTGAGGGAGAGTAGGGGCCTACAGTAGAAGCCCAAACAGTTGGAAACCCCAGAGCCTCCATCCTTCAGAGTAATGTATAGGGAATCCCAGCACTATTTGGCCTTAATCCAGTTTCCAAACCCTAAACCCTAAACCCAGTTTCCAACTTTATGGGGTTTACTGTAGGGGTGTAGGGGCCTTGGGGTTCCGGGGGCCTTGCGTTTCCGAGGGGCTCGGTGTTTTTTAGGGTTCTTGTTTGGGGTTTAGGGTTTACGGTATTTTTGGTTGCCTTTAGAGGGCTCTCCCTACGGAGGTTTAGTGAGTTTGGTGTTTAGGGTTTAGGGCATAAGGAATGAAGGACTCTGGGCATAGCAAGGACCCTTGATATGTGGCTAGTTCTCTAACCATCCTAAACCCCAAGCAAAAATCAACAAACCCTAAACCATTAACCCTAAACCCTAAATTCCAAACCCCGCGCAAACCATCTACAAAAGAACCTTTAAGGCATCCTAACCCCTAAGCCACTAACTCTAAGCCCTACACCCCAAGCAAAAATGCAAACCCTAAACCTCAAACCTTTGAGCCACTCGTTTTTGTCCAGGAGTTTCTCGGTCCCTTCTGGTGCGAGTTCGGATCGGGCAACTTCTCAGATGTAGGCTGGGCATTTCTGGCTTTTAGGGTCCCTTCAAGGGTTCTTCACGGAGCCTTTAGAGGGTTCAGGGTTCAGGGTTGTAGGGTTTAGGGTTCGGGATTTCGGTTCAGGGTTAAGGCCGGGGGTGGCGCAGGTTTCAGAATCAGAAGCAACCCAATCCAGACCAGCTACAACAGGATGCTTGTCGCAAGGGGCCCCATGAAACAAACCGATTCTTTGCCGTTTGCTAAGGGTCTGGGGAGGGTTATGAAGGGTTCCAGAGTTCAGCGTGGAACTTGAGTAGTTTAGGTCGTAAGATGGGTTGCAAACTGTTACAGGTAGCCTCATCGCGGTAGCATTACTTGTGATTGTGTTTATAACATCCCCCTTAGCCTTCAAGCAGGGTCTCACCTAGTCGGAGACATGGGCAGCTTGTAACAAGAGGTGATGCTGCGGCACTTTGGGTTCAGAGTTTTTGCTGTGACCCAAAAGCCTTCTGCAGGCTAGGACAGCCTTCCAGCAGCACAGGCACAATTTCACATCCTGAACAGAGGGTTCAGGATGTAGGATTGGGTACCTGCAAGATTCAAGCCCCTAATTCAACCCGTTGCCCGAAGCCGCTCAAATACCTGATAATGCCTGGGGACACAAAGCCTGTCGTCACAAGTAGCTTGGTTGATCCTGGCATTACTTCATAGCATAAGTTGCTGACTTGCATATAGGCCCTTGCAAAAGTAGCCATGAACCTTAAGACCTCACAGCACTCTAAGTCTGCAGCAGGTGGCCCTCTCTGTGTTTCTGACGTTTTGCAGGCCAGCACCGTCTGAGGGACCTTGGGTGGTTACTACAAGGGTACGATACGGGCACTCTCTCAAGGGGGGTTTTGATGTCATAACCCTAAGCCCGAAAGCCTAAACCTCTCTTAATCTTAAGGGGTGTTCCACACGGCAGAACTTTAAACCCGAAACGCTAAACCTGAAACCCCAAAAGCTTAAACCCCCAACCCTCAAAAGGTGGTGCTGGGGTTGAGGCCCTTTACTTATATACAGGGTCATGGGACTTAGTAACTAGGGTTATAAGTAGAGTAACTATACTTACAATTACTTATAACCCCAACTAGGGTACTTATAACCTAAGGCGATAAGCCCTGCGTGGAGGGTCGGAACTCGAAGGACTTAGTAAGTAGTCATGTTGTAGACTTGTTTAGAAGTGCCGTAATCATAATTATGATCATATCCTTAACTGTAACAAGGGTCCCTCTTGATGGTACTTGTAAGTCTACTTGTTGCCTACGTACTAATAGTCCCCTGACCCTCCAAGTGGTCAGGATTGCCGCAGGGATCCTAGTGCATATGTGGGCCCACAAGGAAGTAGCAGGTCCTGATTTTCGAGGATACACCCAACTAGGAACGTCGCAGTTGGACTCCTCGTGCAAATCCTTTTGAAATTAATCCCGACCTCCGCCACAATGAAATCCGCGAAGCAAGCTGGCTGTTTCAGACATTTCTTATGGCCTACTCACATTGGGCCTTTGCTAGTACAAACTTCGACCGAACATGCATTCCACGCAGCATTTGGTGGATGAGCTGCCCTGCCACAAGATCAACTTTTTCCATGCTGCGAATGTCTTGGACGAGGATCACATGAAATTCCTCAAGATTTTTTCGGCCGGCTGCCACGTGACTTCTCAGCCTCGCACCTGGGCAAGAGGTTACCTGACGAACCAAGTGTTTCTCTGGCGACAATTGCAGAGTGGTCCTGCTGCGAAGACAAGGACGAAACGTCGCCTCCCTGGAGTAGGCCCTTACTCCTTTCTTTAGGGTTCAGGTTCCCTTATAAGCCCCTTTAAAACAAGCAATGCACCCCGTTTAATCCTAGGTTACCCTTGGGTCTAGAAAAGCTTCGAAAGACGATACATTTTTCTAAGCCTGTACAGGCTCCAAGCTGGCATTTAAAGGCCCCAAGCAAGCAAAGCCAACTCAATGGGTAAATAGCCTTGTCAAAAGCGAAACCAGAAACCCCCAAAGTAAAGTGCTACTGAACTATGAATGTAAAACTGACCCTGGTTCTGTAAATTGTGACCGCCACCTGTAGCCCCAGAACCCTTCCTTTTCCAGAACCGTGTAACAAAATCATACTAAGGAACCTTTTATGGTAGGATGTTGTTGTATTGCAGGAAGACACTCTTCTAGCAACTTGGGCCTCCAAACCCTGCGCCGAAACCCCGAACGTTTGAACACTGACGGTTAGGGCTTGGGGTTCGGGTTTAGGATTATTTAGGGTTCAGGCTTTGGCATTTACAGTGCAGGCTTAAGGTTGGGGTTATTTAGCGGTCTTTCAACCCCAAAAACACTGTACTGCTACGGCTCAGAAAGCAGTACAACGCAGGGGGCTGAAATCCCCGGAACACAGATCCGAGGCTTGGGGTCTGCTTCTTTGTGCTCCCTTTTCGGAACGTTCTCAACCCAACACCGTCACGCTAAACGGCCTGAACTCTATAACAATATCTCTAGACCTCTTCGGGGCCTTACAGCACCCCTTAAGAATTAAAGGAAATCTTAGAGGGAGCTTTTACCCCTGGCACGGAGGTCTTTCCCGGAAGTTGGCGCGACACCTTTGCCGAGCTGATCCGACTCTTTCCTTTGCTAACAAGTTGGGTTTAGGGTTAGTGTTCAGGGTTTGGATTTAGCGTTTGGGTTAGAGTTTAGGCTTTCTGGTTTTAGGGGTTAGGGTTCAAGGTTTAGGGTTTAGAGCTTGCAGGCTTAGGGTTTGTGCACTGTGCAATAGAACGATGTAGGATGTGTATGAGGGAATAGGAATTCTAGCCACAGCCACCACGAGCCAACAGTGCCTCAGCCAAAACGAGCCAACAGTGCCTCAGCATACTTCAGTTTGGAGGCTCTAGAGGCCTCGTGCTATATTCAAGCACTTAACCCCTGAACCCTACAGCCGGACCCTCCCAAACCCTTACCGTTAAATTGCACCAAGCGCTAAAGGCCCTAAACACCTCTATCCCTGGCTCTGAACCCCTAGCCCTTCCAAACAAAAGCCCCATATCCCCAACCGGTAGAACACCGACACCTTATAAACCCTGAAAGCCTAAACCCCCCAACTGTTAACTTGCTGTGTTGCATGGGCTTAGGGTTTAGGTTCAGCCACAGCACTCGAACATTTTGTGTTTGACATAAGGGTGTGAAGAAGAAGAAGAAGTCTTAAAGCATAATGTTGGTGCTGTGGGTAGTTATTTCGGCTTCTACATTGGACTGCTGTTTTGTCCGGTTTGGACCCTGGCACAACCCCATGCACCCTCGACCCTATACTTCCACGCACACACATGTACATCCTAAGCCCTTCGATGTCTTAACCCTTGCAGCCCATACAGACCCCCGAGAGGATCTAAAAAGTAGATCCCTTGACTCGGGACCCTCTACTACTAAAGGGTACTTTGTAGGAACCCCTTCAGGGATCTGCTTCTCGGATCCTCCCAGGGACCTGGCAGGTTGTGACACGCAACTTTCTTTTTGTGTTGTCAAGTTGACGTTCATGCGTTTCAGGTTTCAGGGATTCGGGGTTTTCGGTTCCGGGTGTGGTTGTTTGGGGTTTCGGCTCTGGGTTTCGGGGCTTGGACTTAAACTTAGGGTTTGCTAACGCTGCCGTCACGCCTGCAACGCCTTCCCTGAAGATCCAGTCCTAAATCCTACACCCTAAGCCCGAAACCTAAAACCCCACACCCTAAGCTCCAAAACCTATAAACCCCCAGACCCTAAACGCCAAAAGCCCTGAACCCCTAAACCCAAAGCCCCAAACCCTAAGCCCCAGGAGAAAATCCCGACCGAACGCACATGCATGGCTGGCTGCCCGGAATGATCGCCAAAGGCCTGAGGATTCGTTTGGGGTCGGGGCTACCCGTACAGTGAACCGCAGAAAGTTGGACATGGATAATCCAGGATAATGATGTTCCAACTTTCTGGCGTTGTTTTTTTTTTGGGGGGGGAGCTGACTCAACTCAGAGGTGAGAACCCTACAGCTATGGAGCCAGAACCTGCAATTTGTTGGGGGATGGGGCACTTGCAGGATCGGGGGACTTAGTAAATGGCTATTGTAGAGACTTATAAGTATCGTAACCCCTTATTTAGGGTCCCTATTAGGGTACTTATATGTCTACTTACTACCTACTTACTAAGTCCCCCGACCCTCCAAGTACAGGCCAAGGCGTCTTGGGCCGCGAAAGCGCCCAAAACCAACCCCAAACCCCGGAAGGCCCACAGGGGAAATTAGGGGAACCCCCAAACCCTAAACCTTATAAATATAAATAAACAAAAGCATATTATATATATATGTATATATTTATCATATGTATATATATATATACACACAGCATATTGTATTATATCAAAAAAGTATGTGTATATGTTTGTATGTCATATGTTCTAGATACCCTCAACCGCCCACCTACCAACCGCAAATGCTCCTGCAGGCGTGAACCCGAGCAGCGTTGGCGTGCTGGCTGCTCGTCCGTCTCAGACCTTGGGCTCCAGGGTTCTTGTGGTTTATTAGGAGGTTTGGGTTTAGGGTTTAGGATTTTGGGATTTAGGGTTTAGGAGGTTTGGGTTTAGGGTTTAGGATTTTGGGATTTAGGGTTTAGGAGGTTTGGGTTTAGGGTTTAGGATTTTGGGATTTAGGGTTTAGGAGGTTTGGGTTTAGGGTTTAGGATTTTGGGATTTAGGGTTTAGGAGGTTTGGGTTTAGGGTTTAGGATTTTGGGATTTAGGGTTTAGGATTTTGGTTTAGGGTTTAGGAGGTTTGGGTTTAGGGTTTAGGATTTTGGGATTTAGGGTTTAGGAGGTTTGGGTTTAGGGTTTAGGATTTTGGGATTTAGGGTTTGGGGTTTAGGATTTTGGGATTTAGGGTTTAGGAGGTTTGGGTTTAGGGTTTAGGATTTTGGGATTTAGGGTTTAGGAGGTTTGGGTTTAGGGTTTAGGATTTTGGGATTTAGGGTTTAGGTTTTTGGGTTTAGGGTTTAGGATTTGGGGTTTAGGGTTTAGGTTTTACAGTTTTTAGGGTTTAGGGTTGAGCTGCAGGGGTGTGCGGCTCAGAGCTCGTCGTTTGGAAGACTGCTCCAAACCCTGAGCATTGAAGCCCTTTGGAATCTGAATGTGGGTGGTTGTCAAAATTAGGGTCCCTTTTTGGGTACCCTAAATATTAGGTGCCGCATTATCTTAAGGACCAAAAAAGGGACCCTAATTTTGACAATTGCCCATGTGGGTTGACAGGAACCCGACATAACGCGGCATGTGACTTATGCTTCCAGCTGGGTGCAGGGTACAGTTTCCAGAAACCGTAAAGACTAATTAAACGCTAAACTTCAAACGGCCCTAAACCTGAAGCCATAAACAGAAATGTAGGTGAGGCCTCTACATTACCCTGGATGATCTGGCACGGATGTTCATCCAACTGTTGCAACTGTGCCTTTCTTTGGCTCAGGAGCTCATGTAATTCACCATTCCCAGTGGGCCCATATATACTACCGTTAAGGAATTAGGCCACCAAAGACAACATTCCTACTATGGTTTTCGGGAACTAATTCCATAGTGGTACTATATAGGGAGCATCGAGGTAAGTATATAGCCCAAGTAAGTCGCCATCGCAGTACATGGTAATATGCTTTCCTACTCAACCCTTAACTCCTGTAAGAACTCTTGCAAAGCCCTTATAATCCTACCAAACCCTAAACCTTAAACCGTAAACCCTAAACCCTAAACCCAACTGTTTCAGCTCCGTGTACCGGATTACAGAGCCAAGATTCCTTCCATCTTAGTATAGGGGTCGGAAGAGGTGATTTCCCAACATACACTCTACGAGGGCTTTAGGGGTTTAGGGCTTCCCATCCCGACGGTTAAAGAGGAGCTCAACGCGCCCGAGGTGGGCCCCCAAGGCAGCCACTTCTCTGGAGGTGCTACGGTTGATGATATAGATCCTGCATGACCCATAATAAGGAATATACCATAATTTCCATAGTTTAGGGTTCTTAAGGTCATGCAGGATGTATATCATCAACCGTAGGCCCATGTTCAACTACCAGGACTTGCTTGGATGAGACCCCGCCTCACTTGGTCATCCCCGTTGGCCTTTGCCGGGACTTGCTTATGGTTCGCAACGAGGTCTATGGTCTACCTTAACCCCGAATAACTTACCTTTTCAAGGACTTATATAAAGAAATCATGATCAGGAACCCTAAAAAGGTAGGTTTTCAGGGTTAAGTAAGGTATGGACTGCAGCGCTAGGGGAGGATGAGCAGAGCGTCGCCCCGACTGTTGGCGCACCGGATTGTAGCCTGGCTCTTATAACGCCCGAAGAAGCCTGACCTGCTTGGGCTTGATGATCTCCAGATGTTTCTCGCTGTGCGAACGAAGTACCACGACATTCTCGAGGACTTTTTTCCATCTTGCCTTCAAGCAGAGTCCCTCACCGTGGCCCTAGGCCGCCAACTTGCATCCGTTTTGGGGACCTAATTCCATATTTGTAGTATGTATGGACCCTCTTCCCAGACCACCGGACAATCTAGAAAGTAGATCCCCTAATTAGGGACCCTAACTACAAAAAGATGCTTTATCGGAACACCCCATAAATAAATTAAAGTATCTGTATTATACGGACCATCTCACCCTAAACCCTAAAGCCTTAAATAAACCCTCAAACTTACAATGTATGGATGGTTGTCAAAATTAGGGTCCCTTTTTGGGTCCTGAAAATAATACGGCACCTACTATTTGAGGTACCCAAAAAGGGACCCTAATTTTGACAACTACCCATATCAAACCCTGCATCACATTATATCAAACCCTACACCACTAAACCCTAAACCGCCCTGAAAGCTTCAAGCCCCCATGGTAAAGCCTACCCCCGAGACCCAAATTTTTACATATACCCAGGGAGCCCAATACCCAAAAGGGAGTTTCCGAAAATAGGGGACCCTAATATAGCACCCCAAAGAGTAGGATCCTTACTATAAGGACCCCAAGATAAGGTACCCTTAATCTTCAGAAACTCGAAACCCTAAACCCTAAACCCTTTATAGAACTTTTGTAGGTCCCTTTAAGCAGCCCTTATGGATCTCTTTTAAGGCACCCCGGGGAGCCCAACACCCATATGGACTCTCTTAGATCAGAAAGGTTCCCAGGCGCTCGATATCGGACCCCGCAGCGCAATGGACACTGGGACGTTGCAGATAGTCGGGTTTTCCATGGTGTAGGGTTTAGGTCTTTTTTGTTCTTTTAAAGGGTCCTATAAGGGATTTAGCAAGGGTTTTGGGTTGGTTTACTTAAGGGGTCATGGGACTTAGGAACTAGGATTGTAATTCGGCTAACGATACTTATAATTACTTCTAACCCCAACCAAGCCAAGGGACCCACAACCGATTCCCAGGACCCCCCAGGGTCATGCTTCGGGGTGTCGGGTTTCGTATTTCAGGGTTTAGGGGTTTGGGCTGAGGGTTATATACCTCGGTATAGGGTTTAGGGTTTAGGGTATAGCTTAGCTCCAGGGATATACTTCATTTCGGTGAATTGCGGGTCTCTGGGTTCGTGATTATAGGGCTATGGAGTGCGCAGTCATTTTTTTCTACGTCTGGGTTAGCGGTTCGCTTCTTGAGTTTTCGTGCTGGCCGCTTGAACCTTCGCTGTTGAGGCGTTGCTGTTACTTGGGGGTTGCCGAACAGAAGGGACCCTTACCTAATTTCCGGAAACTCCCAATTAGCAGATATGTCAGGTCAGGGGTTCGTAGCAGCACAGGGCCAGGTTACATATGACATATGGCATAGATCAGCACTTTGAGGTTTAGGATACAGAGTTGAGGGTTCTGTGGATGGAGGTACTTGGGAGGTCTGTAGTGTGCTACAAGTACATGTGGTTGCACAGCGGATTTCCCCAATCAAGGTGCATATATGCCCGCACATAGCCAATGTGCCTACAAAGTCGCAGAGCGATTCATATGTCTACCGGAATGCTCATGGGTGAAGGCCTGAATCAGAAATCTTAAGTCTTGATGTTTGCACCTGAAAACCGGCACCCCGACACTAAATCCCAAAGTCTTGAACCGAAAACACAGCCCCAGGCAAACCCTAAACCCTAACCCCTAAACCCTAAACCGACATTGCAAACATGACCGCAGCCATGACGGCACAAGCTTCGTGTTTGGCTTAGGGCTGAGCCTTTCCGACATTATAAAGCCGCCAGTTCTAGTTTTTGCAAAACTCCTTAGAGGTCCGAAGAACCAGCCATTCCGTCTTGTCGTGATCTTTAGATAGCTACACCATACTTGATTCTTGATCCTAGGTAGTCATTTAGTAGAGTAAAGTACCTAACAGGAATCCTAGTTCTACGAGACAGCTGATGACATGATTCTTAGCGTTCCTGACAATTCTAGCATTCTAGTATAGCACACCTGAAAAGGAACAGGGCCCTTGTGTTGAGCACTAACCCAAAACCCCAAACCCTAAGCCCTGAGCACTAAATCCTAAGCCCGAAACTCCAAACCCAAAACTCTAAACCCCAAGCCGTAAACACGCAACCCTGAGGCCTTAAGTCGAAGCCCTGAAGCCCTACACCCGAAACCCTGAACCCGAAGCCCGAAACCCTAAACTTTAAACCGTAAACTTTAAACCCTAAACCTTAAACCCTAAACCTTAAACCCGAAACCATAAACCCTAAACATTAAACCCGAAACCATAAACCCTAAACCATAAACTCCAGAGCTTTGTCATCGCTCCAAACCCCAGCGCCTCTGGCATTGTGGCCGTTGTGCCGAACAGTCAGCTCGGAGGGTCGGGGGACTTAGTAGAACCCTTAAGGGGATCTATACGGATTCTACAAGGGTTCCTGTAAAGAGATCTGTAGAAATTCGATAAGTAAGGGGTCTTGGAGGGTCGGGGGGAATAATTAGATTTACAAGTAACCAGCATGGGTCCGAATTGTGCTTATGATATTCATAAGAACTTACCCTCGAAGTTGCAAGCTGTGGCCACTAGGGCCCGGGGGTTTGGGTTCGGGCTTGAGGGGTTCAGGCTATAGGGGTTTTTGGGTCATTGGTAATTGTTGTGTTTCCCGGTTTAGGTTAAGTTTTTAGGGGTTTGGGATGTTGAGTTGAGGGTCCCGATTGTTGTGGAGGGGTTCTTGCTGATGGTGCAGAGACGTGCCTGTACCTTGCCTACCCCAAACTGGTAGCCCCCAAGCCAGAAACACATGAGGACTGTACAGTCAACAAAGCTTCCTAAGCCCTAGCCCGAGCACCTGGAGAACAGGTTTGGTGTTGGCAAGGCTTAGCTTGGGGGCGCTGAATTTATCCCCAGGGCTGTAAATAATCACCTATACTATGTTGGGGGGTTCCTTATTATGACTATAGTATACTGGGCCCAAAAACCCTATTCTAATTATTAAGGCCCCTAGCATAGCACCCTTATAGTGCCCTTATGGTATCCCTCAAAGGAAGCCTTTAGAGGAGCCCTATTCTAATCTTAAAGGACCCGGTAGGAATCCTCACAGTCTGGTGTTCATGTTTCGGGATTTCGAGTTCGGATCGGGTTTGACGTTGTGGGCCGAGTCTCGTCTTCAATGGTTCTAGGCTTGGGGCAGTAAACTTCCCAGAGGTTCCATATTCATATACACTGCGATTATGGAATTAGCTCCCAAAAAAGACCATCCCCATTATGGGTTTTGGGACCTAATTTCACAATAGTAGTGTATATGGACCCTCTTGGTTTTGAGGTTTATAGCTTGAAGCCATCCTCATGTTCAGAGCTTCGAGTTGTTTCAGGGTTTGGGGTTTAGGGCGTTTACGGCTTGTAGGGGAAAGTCAGCTCTTTCTGACCGTAGTCACCGCTGCCCATGCAGCCATGACAGTGATGATGATCACAGCCATCATACCAACACTGCCAGCATTGTAGACGCCCTTAGTATTATACAGCTGCGACAGATTCCACTACAGAGTCGCTATAGAACCCCTGATAGCATTTCCTTACATGACATGGGAGTTTCCGAAAATAGGGGACCCTAATATAGTACCCTAAATAGTAGAATGAATCCTTATCAGACGGTGGGTTTGTGATACTAAAGTTGTTAAGGAGCCCTTTTACTATTCTACTTATTAAGGCTCTGATTTAGCGAAATGACGTGAACAGCATTGTCGCTGAGAGACGAGAAGACTCTTAATCATGCTCGTGTCTGTGCTCGTCGCCCAATGGCAGACAACTGCCGTTCTTAGAAAAGGATACGACTGTAGTCACGGGTTCATGAATGCAGCGACAGGCTCAATTCTGCTAATCGGCTGGTACCTTGCGTAGACACTGCCTTCGACTCGCAATGGCGAACTTCAGCGACTGTGGCAAGCATTGCTCCCATCCGTACTGCAATCAGCAGGACTTACTTCCTTTCGAGTGTGACGCCTGCGGCAAAGCCTACTGTTCTCACCATTTCAGCTATGAAGCCCATGATTGTCCCAAGGGGCGACAGGCCACGGACCGTCGCGTGATAGTCTGTCCTCTTTGCTCTTTGGCGATTCCCTTGGCGCATGGCGAAGACGAGAACGAAGTTTGGGAGCGGCACGCTACAAGTGGAAGCTGCATCCCCAAACAAGTGACCAAGCCGAATCGGTGCCCGGTGTCTCGGCCGTTCTAGAAACTTGCGTGAGAAAACTTACCTTAACCCCGAGGAACCTACCTTGTCAAGGACCTATATCAGGAGATCATAAACAGCAACCCCAAAAATCTAGGTTATTCAGGGTTAAGGTCAGACCTCGGCTGGTCTGGTCTTCACCAGCCTTACGAAGCCTTCCAAGTACTACAGGGGCCTAAATAATTCCTTTTGCTGGTTATCGCATAATGGGATTTTGTTCTAAGTATGAAGGCCCCTACTTCAAGGGTCATGGGACATATTTACTAGGGTTACAATTGAGGTAACTATACTTACACTTACATATAACCCCAATTAAGGTACTTATGACCTCACGTGCGAAGTCCCACGATCCTCCAAGTACAGTACGAACAGCACAGGTGAAGGGCTGCAGGGAGAAACTCACCTTCTCGAACTCTTGCAGCTGCGGCTCTTGTGGCATGAAAGTGTCCCAGGCTGTTCAGAATTTACTTTAGGGTTTAGGGGTTTAGGGTTTAGGGGGTTCGGGGTTCGGGGTTTAGGTTTTAGGGTTTAGGGTTTAGGGTTTTAGGGTTTAGGGTTTTTAGTTTTACTTGTTTGGCCTGTGAGTCGCGAGTCCCTCTGAAGAAGAGTCTAGGTGTGCTTAAAGCATCGCTTCGAAGATCAGCATGACTGCCACCCTGGCCCAAGTCAGAATCCAGGTGGCCATTCGGAAAAGTTGTGCATTTCCCTCTACGGTTCCTATAGAGGTACCTATCCATAAATACTTTTCAGAGCCCCCAAACTACAACCCAGGAAACAACATGGCAACAACCTCTTGCAGCAGTTTGCTCAGCTTGTCAAAGTGAGCTGAGAAACTCGATCTTGCTGAGTTGGGTCCGCGCCCTCATTCCATTTAATTCAGTATCCGGCATTCCGCTTGCGCAGTGGATGCGACAGAGATCTCTCCTGCTGCGTAGCTTCGAAGTCTTAGTGGCTGTTTCTGTACAGGCAGAAGCTGTTTGCATGGGCCAAAGCCAGGGCAGCTTTAATTACAGCCAACAGAGACCTTGCGGTGGTGAATGCACAGAACCCCGCCGCTGTTGTAAAAGCAGCTGGCCTAGAGGCACGTGAACGCCGTCAAGTCAAGCACTTAGTGGTTGAGTAGGTAGGGTTTAGGGTTTGGGATTAACCTTTTGGCGTTGAAATTTTAGGACCCAGACTAAGCCCTTATTCCCTTCTTTCAGGGTTCGGGTTCCCTTATAACACATACAGTCCAGGCTGTATGCCCCCAATTCCCCAGACCCTTAGCCCTGAACCCTAAAGCCTACACCCTAAACCTTAAACCCTAAGCCATAACCCTACCTTAACCCTGAATAACCTACCTTATTAGGGCTTCTTATTATGATTTCCGTGTATAACTCCTTCAAAGTGTAGGTGTTTCCGGGTAGAGGTACATCAAACCCTTAAACCCCAAACTCTAAACCCTTGAATGCCTGAGCCCTAAACCCTAAAACCCTAAAGCCCCAAAGCCCTAAACCCTAAAACCCTAAACCATGAGCCTTGAAAACTAGAAGGCATGACCAGCTCTCAGCCCCTTGGAAGGTGCAAGATGCCCATGCAGATCCGCCGGATTTACTGACGGACGGTCCAGGGTTGGGTTTAGGGTTTGGGGGTTTAGGGTTCAGGGTTTAGGGCTTACGGGTCGAGGGCTTGGAAGAAAATGTAGGAATGATTATGAATCGTGCATGGTGCTATCTTATACCTTAACCCTGAAAAACAGGGTTCCTTATGATGATTTCTTTATATACGTCCTTCAAAAGGTAGGATATTCCGGGTTTAGGTAGGTCTAGTAGAACATTCCCAAACCCCATTTCACTCAGGACCCTCTGCTAGACTTTCGGGGTTTATAAGGTTTAGGAGCCAAGGCTTCATCGCGGGATGTTTGCTTTTTAGGGTTTTCAAGGCGGGCCCGAGCAAAAATTGCTGGGTTCATAAGATGTTGCGAAGCTTTGTAGGAATTTTGGATTCTCGGAGTTAGATCCAACCCTGAAGGGGGTTACGGGGTAAGCGTTTATGGCTGAGGGTTTAAAGTTTAGGGTTTAGGCTGGGGGAGAAAGGCGAGGCTTCAGCAAGCTGCGAGTGGACTGATGCGATGCGCGACAAAACGGCCGAGATTTCAACAGGCTTTGGGTTTAGATCTCCGACGGCCCGAAAAACTGCTTTAGGGGATACACTGAAGTGTATCTCATGTAGTAGTAGTAGTAGTAGTAGTAGTAGTAGTAGTAGTAGTAGTAGTAGTAGTAGTAGTAGTAGTAGTAGTAGTAGTAGTAGTAGTAGTAGTAGTAGTAGTAGTAGTAGTAGTCTCCTCTTGTGACCTCCGTGCAGTTCTATGATAACATGTCCTGAAACCGTATGGAAGTTTTTGGGCCCCTATATTGGGTATGTGGAAGAGCCTACAGATAGGCAGCTGGTCATGAAATCGATGTCATGATCGTTAGTGTTCAGGGAATTCTGATGATGACCGTCATCATCATCATCGTCGTCACCAACAAGACTGCCGCCACCATCATCATAGTTGTCATCATTCGTCATGGTGCTATTCTCATTGTGCGTTTGCTCTTTGTCCGAAATACAAGTTCGTATACTATGCGCGTAATCGCATTCCTAACTTTCTATTCAGGTGGGCCTTCCACATAGGCCTTCGATGGGGGTACCTTGATCAGTTCAATACATCCGTTTGGGATGGTAGTTTTCGGGATGAGGGTGCTAGCAATCCTTGTGCAAATCTTGGGGATTTTTCGGGAGCATGTCGGAGAGTTGGGACTAAGTCTTATCCCCCGCCTGGGCCCCCCTCCGTGGCATCTCAAGGAACCCTCTTTACGATTTTGCCAACCGGGAACGTCGCAGTCCTTCGTCTAACGAGGCTGGAAGGCTTTGGGGGTGTAGGGTTTACTTTAAGGTTGAAGAATGAATATACATAATTGTATATATATATGTATAAATATATAATGACATGAACAATTGTTGAACTTTTCCCCAAATAGTTCGCTGTACGGGTTCTTGCGACGTTTCGCACTGTGGTTGCCGGGGTTGTCGACACGTATGTTTCCTTTCTCCATTCATGTTTGCGGTCTCGGTGGTTTGTGATGTGCTCCAATGTTCCCGTTAGCATCATAAGTACAAGTCACTAGAGACCTAGTCTAATTTTGAGGCCGCTGCACTTGGAACGTGGCGTGTTTGGCTTCAGGCTTTTGGTTGTAGCCCTAAATCCCTGATAAAGCACTAAACAAAAAGGTGCAGCTTTCGGGTGAGTGGTTAGATAGAGCAGTAGCTAGAGGTGCTTAGGTTTAGGTAGGGTTTAGGGTTTGGGCTTTTCTTACTTCTTCACTGCCACATATGACGACTGGTTTACTCCTAAACCCAAAACCTGAAACCCCAAGCCCCGACGACCTCAAACCTCTGGACCCCAAGCCCTCAAAACCAAGCGCAATACACTTATGGCTCAGACCGGTATTCTCGTGGCGCTAATGACGGACCCAGGACTCATTCACAAGCCCTGAAGCCGAAACTCTACCTCTGGACCCTAAACCCTCATCCCCGAAGCCTTTAAACCTCTCCATTTTGAGCCTGACCTAAACCTTAAACCCTGAAACTCAAACGGGGAGTCTACAGAGCAATAAGATCCGCAGCGCAAGCCGAGTTGGGTCAGTCCCCCCCCGGAAGCCTACCCCAAACCCTACATGCTCAACCCTAGACCCTAAACCCTGAAACCCTAAACCTTACCGTTACGGACCGTAGACCCTAAACCCCTAAACCCTAAACGCCCGAGCATCTCTCATGTGCCGATCAGCAGAAGATGGAGCTTCCCAGCGCAAGAGCTGGGTCGGAGTACCCATCAGTTGTGCCAGGCTGGAACGTTTAAACTGTTGTGGAACTTTCTTTGAAGTATTTCTATATGAGCAAAGAGCTAAATACTCCACATCAGGGAGTAGTCTTCCGGGGGACTTTGGATGCCATGTGGCATGAATGCCATACCATAGTGTGGGAAACGATAATGTCAGTTATGTATGTGTAATGTCCTCATGAATATGTAAAACGATATAGTGAAGGTCCAAAAACGATAAGGCGATTTTGCGAGCCAACGCACGTGTGCTGGTGCAGCAGTGCAGAGCTCAAGTCGGGATCCCAATCTTTCCTGGCCATGGTCCGAAACTTAGAGTACCCAATCTAGGTTTCAAGGCTCCGAAACTTAGAGTGCATGTGGTAACCGCTGGCACAGCATCGTCAGCTGCTGAATACCATGCACCGCAGAGAACTAGACCAGTGTTTGCGCAGCTCCATGCTCCCAATCTACAATTTCAAGTCTCTGAAACTGATTAAAATCAGGCCGTGTAGTGCTCAAACTTTCTTTTGGGTTCCCACGCATTGAAGTGCATTTCGAGGCTTCGGAAGTTAGTGTGCCTCATTTACGTTTCAAGGCTCCAAAACTTAAAGTGCATGTGAACTGCTGGCACAGCAAAGTCAGCTGCTGAATACCATGCACTGCAGAGAACTAGACTGGAGTTTGTGCAGCTCCATGCTCCCCATCTACATTTCAAGGCTCCGAAACCTTTTGAAATCAGGCCGTGCAGTGCTCAAACTTGCCACGCATTGAAGTGCAGCTCAATGCTCCCAATCATGTCGAGGCTCCGGAAGTTAGAGTGCCCAAGGCTCCGAAACTCAGAGTGCATGTGGTAACTGCTGGCACAGCAAAATCAGCTGCTGAATACAGAGAACGAGACTAGAGGTTGTGCAGCTCCATGCTCCCAATCTACATTTCCAGGACGCACGGCTCCAACCCCCCCATGCACTGGCGTGATTGTTAGCGCGATTGGGTAGCTTTCGGGCCCCTAGTTCACATGGAATGGGCTCTGGTCAGTAAGTCATTTTGTGCACGCCGAGGCAATTCCAGTACTGAAGTTGTACTACAAGAAAGCACAATTCAGCCAGAAGCCGAAACGAGGCATTTCCAGTACTGAAGTTGTACCACAAGCAAGCACAATCCAGGCAAGAGCCGAAACGAGGCATTGCCAGTACTAAAGTTGTACTACAATCCTGCCAGGAGCCGAAGCGAGGCATTTCCAGTGTACTACAAGCAAGCACAATCCAGCCAGGAGCGAAACGAGGCATTTCCACTTGCAAAGCCCCTTTATCCTTCCTTGGCCTCTTTCAAGACCCTTAGGGTTTAGGGCTCTTGGCTTGCTCTGGTAGGTTTGGGACGCCTGGACAGTTTCTAGCGTGCTGCAGCAGGTTTGGGATCCCGGGGCTCAAAGATCGAGCCCGCGACCCTGCCCAGTTTGATTCACTCTGTGGCCACCGCCCGTCGTGGAGTTATACACAGCTCAGCGTGCAGACACTCGGCCCTTGAGGGAAGTGGCGAAGGTGTGCGGGCTCAATTCCCGCCGGGGTTCTTATTGTCCCTTGTCCAACTTGACCAATTGGAACCGAGATTTTGGATGACCAAAACCTTTCGAGAGGGCAGGTGCCCGCGTCGTCGGACGAAGCGGGAGCTGATCCCCCACAGTTGCTAGCGTGCTGCAGCAGGTTTGGGATCCCGGGAACTGAATTTACATCACACACGCAGAAAAGTCCCAAGCACAGGCGGTTGTGAACTGGCTTGCTCTGTTAGGTTTAGGACACCTGGAAGTGAGTTTTCGTCGCACGGCTCCAAAAACCCCATGCACTGGCGTGATTGTTAGCACGATTGGGTAGCTTTCGGGCCTCTAGTTCACATGGAATGGGCTTTGGTGTGGTTCCCAACGTGCCCGGCTCCAAGAAAGCACTGGTGTGGTGAACTAGCGCACTGTAGGTTGCTTGGCACCTCGGTAAGTC